GGGGGGAGGAATGGATTATCTCGCCGGTGTCACGCCCAGCTCACTGACATCACTGGTTGCCTGGAGCTGGATGGGACACCAGCCAGAGCATCTCAGGTTGCCAAGAGTTGGGCTGGGAGATGTGTATGGTCCTTATGGCTCTTAGCAACCTGGGACGCTCTGGCCAAAAAGCAAAAAGGGGGCAGCAAGCACATTGCAAACGTTGTGATTCAGAGGGCTATGCCCCATGTGACCCAAAGAGATGCCGCCTGAGGCAACAGTCTCAGACTGCTTCATTATAGGGATGGCCCCGAGTATGGCTGTGCAGCACTACTAAGCAGGTAAAAGAACCTGCATATACAATGACACATTATGGCTGCACTTGCATCGTTGTCAAAGGAGAAGTAAACGTAGTTTTCAAGATACAATGGGCCTTACACGGCTGCTGAAGGTTAAAAAAACCTTACTTTTACCAAACCTGCAACCTGCTCCAAGCTCGCTCCCATGATGGACTACACTCAGGGCTGGATTAAGAGCATCAGGTGCCTAGTGCTGAGGATTTTGATGGGACTTTTTATGGAAATGGCGACAGTCACCAGGGCCCTCTTGCTCCAGTCCGGTCTGTGATTTGTAGTCTCTCAACAGCTTGGAGTCAGTGGTGGAGCGGCAGGGCCCGGTTGCAGCTGGGACCCTGGCAGATCTGCCAAGCTGTAGAGGGACTACAAGTCTTAGCAATACATTATAGAGCAATGCAGAATACCACCAACTATAGAGGACTACAAATCCCAGTAATACATTACACAGCAATGCAGAATACCACCAGCTGTAGAGGACTACAAATCCCAGCAATAAATTAAACAGCAATGCAGAATACCGCCACTAACTATGGAGGACTACAGATCCCGGTAATGCATTACCGAGCAATGCAGAATGGCACCAGCTATAGAGGACTGCAAATCCCAGCAATACATTGCATCTGTTCAGGCTCTCAGGTGGTCAGCATGAGCCCTCAGGTGGTCAGCGAGACTGGCAGCTAGGGTTGCCACCTTTTCTTCAAGCAAAACCCGAACTCTCTAGTGACGAAGGACATTTTTGGGGGAGAATGAGTCGTGGCTTATTCATATGTAAATATCACAGTTAAGACTAATTTTTAGTGCGGGGACAGTAGCACCTATTTTGGTTGCCCCTGTCTGCCTGACATCTTGTGTCCGGATTTCTGCCTCCATGAAACCCGGACACAGCATTCAAAACCCGGACTGTCCGTGTGAATCCTGGACAGGTGGCAACCCTACTGGCAGTGCTCTGCTCAGGCATATCGATTCGCCCTGACTACAACACAAAGGGACCATGGGGAACAAACGTATCGCCTCTCCAGAAGGAAGGACAGTGTCCGCACCAATTCAGAGATGATTTGAGGATCTACAGCCGAGTGATACACAAATAATATACATTTTTGTTAATAGGTACTTGAATGTATTTTTAAGGTTTAACTCCTGAGTTTAGTGTCACTTTAATTATAGGATAGCCTACTCTCCAGATATTAGCACTTACACTGCTATTTAATGACTACAAAACATTCCACAGAGTATTCCTCAAACTTCTGTGCCGCTTGTGTAATACAGGGGAGTAGAAGTCTGCTCACCAGTACATATTGGGTTAATTCTAAATTCCATGTGCCTTTTCCTCTGTGGGTGTTCCTCTGAATTTCATTAATCCCAAGGACCTGCCCCCTGGCATTCTCCAAACTGCTCACACATACAGACATTAGTGTGTGTCATTTTATTTCCCTTTTATTGCCACATTGTCCCCTGGGTGTCCTAGAGGCTCAGTCGAGTGTAAACATGAAGGTCTCCGCACCTCACTGTCCCCTGCACATCTCTGCCTGGAAGAACATCTCTATGTACTGCTACTAAAGCTGCAGCACATCCTGGTGTCACCACCACCAGCCCACTGGGACAGAGCAACAGGTGGAGAGGACCACATTGACCAACAAGGACGGGACCGCAAGCTGCAGATTAACCGGATACCTTGAAACAAACAAAAGACTAAAAATTTTATTTCATATTGGACACTATGGCCAATTCAGGAATTCAGCTCCTTGGCTATTTTCTCGCTCTGGGCGGATGGATAGGGATTATCTCTACCACGGCGTTACCTCAGTGGAAGCAGTCGTCGTATGCCGGAGATGCCATTATCACAGCGGTGGGGCTGTACGAGGGCCTGTGGATGTCATGTGCCTCGCAGAGCACCGGCCAGGTGCAGTGTAAAGTCTTCGACTCCCTGTTGTCACTGGAGGGTACGTAAAGAATGAAGGGCAATCCTGGAATCCAGGGTGTGCCAAACCAGTCCTCAGGGGCCGCTAACCATTTACGCTTTTCCAGGGGAAATTATTGCAGATTTAGTCTTTGCGATTGGTCACACACAGGCAAACCTTCCAAATCGATAAAAGGCAAGATAGGAGATCTTAAAACTGCCACAATGCATAGTCATCATTTGACTGCAGCTTATTGGTAGTGGGTATTCCCAGCATGCTGGAAAACGCCTGTTGACAGGTGTGTTCCACTTTTTGGTACTTGCTGTGCAGCCCCTTTGTAGACCCCAGGAGTCAATAGTGGAAGCACTGATTTGTAAGGGGGCTAAAATGACATTGATTGCTAGCAGTTTCATGTAGCATGCCACCAGTCTCTCTCTATCCTTGGCAGTGTGTCTTTAAGCTGGCTATACACTGTCATATTTTCTTTGTTCAACCTGCAGGCTGATCAAAGCATCTTCTGCTGTCTTCGTTGTATTCCGACGATGGCCACAGCCGCTGTCAGAATACCCGAACAGAGCTGGCAGCTGATTTTCCAACCAGCTCCTTTGATCAGCTGATCGAAGGATGCTGACCAAAAGGGTGCTGACAGCAGCACACACTGTCCAATTTTTGGCCAATTCATCAAGAACTGGAAGAAATTTGCACAGTGTATGGCCAGCTTTAGACTCCGTCCACCCTTGTTGCATGCCAGCAGTCCCAAATTGTCTCCCGTAGTATGTCTTAAGTCTCTTAGAGTATTCTGAATATGATGTACACATAATAGGCCCCAGTTAGGGCCTCCTACACCCCTACACCTTGTAAGTTGACGGCCACTCCCGTACATTATCCAGTTGTAATGTAAAGCAATTGCATCAGTTGTTGCAAATTATCAGTGAATGTTGAGCATATGCAATGAGATTAGTCCAAACCGACCTAGAAGACTGAATTGGTTATTATGGGTTAGTGTTCAAATAATCTCAGCCTTAGGGCCATATCAGACAAGCCATTTTGTAGAACTGACTCATTGCTGCAACAAATGGCTAACTCCAGCGATTAACGGTAATTTGTAGCTAGCAATTTAACTTAGTGGAGTCGCTGGAGATTTGTCACAAAGAAGCAATTTGTTGCTGATACAAGTCATACTAGTGCTACCACATTGGGTTGGTGTACTCTGCTACAAATCACTAATTGCTGATTCATCTCTATAGTTAAGCTATAGAGATGAATGCAGACAGAGTGTCGCTGGCATGAAATGCTGTTCAAACTCAACCACCGAGCGGTGGGCTACAAATTGTTGTAAAATTACTTTGTTAGAAATGTGAAAAATAACTATAACTTCCTTAGTGAGAAATCACTTTAAAATAAAAGGAGGATCGCTACAAATTAACTGCTCGTCTGACGATTATTAGACGAAACTTTTCGTCCGATGATCGAACCGTCGTAGGATTGTCGTACGGCGGCCCCATCCTGCCCCGATTATCGCAAGGTTCAATCAGCGGTAGTTAAAAAAAAAAACACCTGGACGAATTGCGGTAATCGACAGCACTTATTTTCGTTTGCAATGAGCAGTGTTAATCGTACAACTTTTGACAGACGGAAACGCCACCAACCATGCGAAAATCATACGATCAACCAAAGTTTTCAAACATGCTTGAACGTCAAAAGTCGTACGATTGTACAGTACTGTCGGTCGGGCACTACACATACACCTTACGATTGTCGTACGAAAAGTCTATCACATACGATTATCGTACGATAATCGTAAAAGGTGCCCATACACCGCACGATTCTCGTACGAGAATCGCGGGAAATCCCACGATCGTACGATAATCGTGCAGTGTATGGAAGGCGTGCGACCGTTTCTACTGTACGGTCGCACGTCTTCCGTCGAACCAGCATGCTAGAAAACCCGCCGGGAATCGTATGATTCTCGCCGAGTTAGCGGCCTGCTGGTTCGACAACTGCCGAACGGGCCGATGTGCGCACGCGCACACTGCCCGTTTGCAGTCATCGTAAGCCCGCCCCTCATTACAGTCATCGGAAGCCCGCCCCTCACGGGGGCGGGCTTGCGATGATCGCAAGTACGATCTGCCTGTCCATGATGGGCAGATTGTATGTTTTTTTAAGTACTTTACAACCCCCACAAGACAAAAGTCTTGCGAGGGTTGTAAAGTGTATGGGCACCTTAAGGTGTATGGGCACCTTTACTGAAGAAGCCTCAACATGTGCCTACAATGTTACTAATATCTTCAGGCAAAGCAATAGGCAGAATTAGCCAAAGGGAAATTTAAAAGTGCAGAGTAGCACTTAAAGCCAAACTCCATGCAATGTAAAATTATCAAATTGATCCCATTATTTAGGCAATAGACTGTAACTGATATATATATA